TTGAATGGAAACTTTAAGTTTGTACATTGGGGTATTGGTTTAATATTATTGTTATACTTAATATGAATACACTATGTGTACTTAATAAATTATTGAGTACGATTATTTCAAAAAAGTATATTAATATGGCAACATTATCAGTTTTAATTTCTGATGTGTGGTCAATTTATTAAATACAACAATGTTCATTATATAAATTCCAAAATAGAATTTGTAGTATCACATATAAAAACTAAATGTTTTCTGAGCATTAATATACAATTGACAGTAAACATTTTTTTGGCATAAACATACAATTGACTTGACATATACAATATCAAATATATTTTTTGATGGGATTATTGAAAGTGTTTTTACCAAGAAAACACCTTGAATCATCCATAATAAAAAATTTTGAAGGCATTTTTAACCAAAATCGACTTCAATAATCACCTCAAAAATTAATTGTATGGAATATTAAAGGCGTTTTGGGAAAAAAATGCCTTCAAGAATCCGTCACGTTTTTTTTGTATGAATTATTGAAGGAGTTTAAAAAAAAAACGTCTTAAATAATACTAACTAAAAATTAATTGAATGGATTATGAAGGGCATTTTTAACGGGTAACGCCTTGAATAATCCCTAACAAAATGTTATTGAAGGCGTTTCTAGATATAACCACCTTTAATAATCTGACCATCAAAATTTATCATTTGAAATATTAATGACATTTTTTTACCAAAACCACATTCAATAATCCCACCAAAAATTTATTATGTGAAATATTAAAGGCATTTTGGGCAAAAAATGCCTTCAAGAGTCCATCGAGTCTTTTTTGTATAAATTATTGAAGGCGTTTTAAAAAAATACCTTTAATAATACCAACTAAAAATTAATCAAATTGATTATGAATGGCATTTTACTATGGATAACACCTTGAATAATCCATAACAAAATGTTATTGAAGGCGTTTCTAGATATAACCACTTTCAATAATCCTACCATTAAAATTTATCATCTAGAATATTAATAGCATTTTTAACCAAAACCACATTTATTAATCCCACTAAAAATTTATTGTGTGGAATATTAAAGGCATTTTTGACAAAAAATGCCTTCAAGAATCCGTCAAGTCTTTTTTATATAAATTATTGAAGGCATTTTAAAAAAACACATTCAATAATACCAACTAAAAATTAATCGAATGGATTATAAAGGCGTTTTCCAATGGATAACGCCTTGAATAATCCCTAACAAAAATTTATTGAAGGTGTTTATGGATATAACCGCCTTCAATAATCTTTAATAATTCGACCATTAAAAGTTATTATCTGGAATATTAAAAGCGTTTTAAGCCAAAAACGCCTTCAATTATCCATTCAAACTTTTGTCTATAGATTATTGATGACATTTTTGACAAAAACCACATTTAATAATCACAACAAAAATTTATTGATTGGAGTATAGAAGGCGAGTTCGACCAAAAACGTCTTCAAGAATCGGCTATATATTTTTCTCTTGGATTATTAAGGGCATTTCTCTACGAAAAACGCCTTCAATATTCTCTGCAAAATTTTTTGAAGCAATTGGTGAAGCCGTTTTTGCCAAGAAAATGCCTACAATAATCAATTACAAAAAATCTCTGCAAAACCCAAAAAAAGTTAAACGGATGGATCGAACTTACAACCTTATGATTAACATTCGTACGATCCAAACATTTTGATATGATATTTATTGAAGGTGTTTTTTTTAACAAAAACGATTTCAATAAGCCTGTGAAATTTTTTAGTCTAATTATTAAAGGCATTTCTTTTAGAAAACATTTTCAATAATCTCATACAATTTTTTATTAAGTGATTATTGAAGGCGTTGTCTATAAAAAATACACCTTTAGTATTCACTGAAAATTTTAAAGTAGGATTATTCAAGGCGTTTTAGTCGAGAAATGTTGCTGATATCAAGTCTTTGATGGCGTTTATAAGTAACAATATCATTATTTGAATATTTAATGGCGTTTTGATAATAAACACTTTAAATTTTATAAAATTATGGAAGCTAACGACGTTTGTAAATGAATGGCCGCAACAAAACTATCGCTAATACGCCATTTTCTTGTAATGGTGATCAAAGCATAATGTAACTAAAGAAGGGAAGAAGAAATAACCACTATATATATTTAGGATTAGAGTTAAGTATTATATTAATATTTTTATTATAATTTAAGAATCATTTGAGATTTGAGATTTGAGATTATCCTTGAAAGGAAAATTAGAAGCCCATGGTGTCTTAGGAACTAAAAATTGTCTCTTCTTGATTATTTGTTGGTGAAATGTATGTTTTGAGAAGGAATTGTCAATTTTCTTGGCTGAATCATTGTGAATGGATCAGTTGAATATGAACAGGCTGTGTCTTGTTTAGTTGTTTTTAACGAGGTGTAGGTTTCTAGGTCAGGTGATGATAGTGGAGATTTCAAATGGGATTTAGTGTTTTCGATTAAATCGATTTTCATTCACTTGTCCCTTTCTATGTGGATTGGAAGAGTGGTAGAGAGCTATATGATCCATGCTGTTCATTGCTTTATGCTTTGTTGTTTTCACTAATATTTGATTTTATTTAAGAAAATATAAAATTTTTTATGTGGTTATGAAAACGTAAGATAATTTAATTAAAAAAATAATTTTTGTTTGTAAATGAAATAAATAATAAAATTTATTTTTTTAATTTTAAAAAATTAAAAAAATAATATGATTCAAAAATGTTATTGAGGGTAAAATTTTTTTTACTTTCTAACAATACTTAAAAGTGAGTGTGGTTTCGAATTCACTATTATTATTATTATTATTATTGTTTAAAATGTAAACTTTTTTATTTGAGAGAAATTTTCAGCAAAATTAGGGAATCCATAACATTAATCTTGGTAAGGTACGGAGCATAATGCTCTAACTTAAGGGGAGCCTTTTATTTTTATTTTTTTACTTTTTTACTTTTTTTTATTTTTTCCCAATTTTTCTATATTATTATGTTTTGTCTATTTTTCTTCTTTTTCTTTTTTTTTTCAAAATTTTTTATATTAGTAATTAAAATTTGTTAATGTAGGATGCGGCTTAAGGGTGCCACATGGCACATTCTGGCCTTTCTTTACTTTTACTTTTTTATTTTTTATATTTAATTTTTAAAAAATATCAAAAAATAAATAAATATTTTTTAAAGTTTTTATTTTTTTATGTGGAGTTATTTATATCAAAATTTTCTTTTTTTTACTTTTTTAAAAAAATATTTAATAAATATTTTTTATTTTAAATTTTGTGTGGGAGCTACTTGATTCCAATAGTATGTCACTTTGTTTTTTTTTACTTTTCATTTTTATATATTTAATGAATAATTTTTATGTTTTAATTTGTTATGATACTCACTTAATATCAAGGTTATGTTACATGTTAAGTTATTTGATTTTTTTTATATTTTATATTTAATAAATATTTTATATATTTTTAAACATTTTAAATATTATATCTATATGATATTATTATTAAAAAAAATTTTGCTATCTTTTTTAAATTACTAATTAAAAAATAGATATTAGTAGAGGTATTTATGTCACATTCAAATATATCTTTTTTTAGTGTTTTCTAAATTAATGATATAAATATTTTAAAAAATGTTCATCATTGTTAGTGTCGCATAATAATTTAAATTTTATTTATTTTTTTAACGTTGTTGAGGTATATATAAAAATATATATTTTATAATTATTTTAATTATATATATGTATTATATTCATAAAATTATTATTTAATATTTTATTTTAAAAAATTAATATTTTAAATTCAATAATGTTCATGTGACATTTTTTATGACCTCTTTTTTTTGTTTTAATTTTTTTACTTTTTTCATTTTTTATTGTATACAATTTTTTGTTTTTGATTTTAATTTTTTATTAGATATATTTTAAGAAAATAGTAAGTTAATTTAGGTATTTATACGTCATCCTTTTTTAATTTTTTTAACTTCTATTTTTTAAAATTAAATAAAATTTCTAAAAAAAATAAAAATAAGGGTATTTCACCTAATAGATTATGAAAACTGGACGTATAGATTAACTCAAATAACAACAAAATAAGGACAAACCAACCAGTATAGATTTTCCAAAGAAACAAAAAAACATAGAAAAACATCCGATTTGATCAAAGAGCAAAGAAAAGAATAGAAAAAAAAAAAGCAGTAGGTAAGCAGTAGGTCATCAAGGTTGACTTTGAAAAGGTTAGGTTTCATGGTGTCAACACCACGTGGTCCCACTTATTCAACTCCACGCCTCCCTCAAGCGCCAAAATCCCTTCTTCTATGGCCAGTTTTCTTCCATTTTCTACTCCATTAGTCAAACATGTCTGAATTGTATAACAAATAAATGCCAGTAAAATACTCTTCATACCAACTTTCCTTCTTCCTGGAAGTTGCCTTTCTTCTGTTTTTCACGTTGGATCAAATCCGACAACCATAATAAAAATGCTGAAAAACCCTGATTTTCAACCACCAAACGTCTCTTCTTTGTCAACCCAAACTGATATAAATATAATCTGTCTTTTCTTTATAATACCTGTCTATAATGGTCTATAATAATAAAGGTGGTGGTCCAATTTTGTACTGCTACTCTTCCTTTCTCCAAAAAAAAAAAAAATCAACCCAAAGCTCCAATTCTGCAGTTGCTGCTTTGAGCTAGGAGAGTATAGGAGAAAAAAGTATGGTTATGGAGGAAACTGAGAAGCCAATAGAGGTAAGGGCTATGGAAGCTTTGGGAAAAGGCTTTGATATAAGTGGAGATTTCAGGTTGAAATATGCTAAAGGGACAAGGTTGGTGCTGCTTGATGAAACCAATAAAAGAGACATTGTATTCCCAGGTGCTTTTACTATCAATGGTGTTTCTCAAGATATTCGTCTTGATAAAGGCGATCGTATTCGATTCAAATCCGATGTTCTTGAATTCAATCAGGTTTGTTTGTTTTTTTTTTTTTTTTTCTTTCTATCTTCTGTTTTCCTTATTAAACGATATGGGATTTTTTATGTGTTCAAAACTATAATTAAGATGTTATTTTGGATACCTGATTCAGAATTTTTTCTCAAACTTGATTTCCATCAGTTCCCTAATTGACCCATGTATCAGTTTTTGTTGTGTATTTTCATAGTTCATTTTGTGGGCAAAAAAAGAGCTAATACTAGTGTAAAATGGCCAACTTGTATAACTAAAAACTGTAATAAGGCTATTTGCAGCTGGAAAAGTATAACTTTTGACTAGGGAAATGCTAATGAGTTCCTGAAATCCTTAACTAGTGTGGTTAGCAAAGGTGATATTTATGGAAAATTTTTTCTTTGGATTTAAAGTATATATTTTTGGGAGTTCAGCTCGTTTGGTTGATGCAGTTATCCAATTCCTTTTCTTATTCTAAGCTGCGGCTTCCTTGGTAAAAAAAAAGAAGTATATATTTTTAAAAATAGTTCCATACTTTGTGTTTTATAGGCATTCGTTACCAAAATTTTTTTGGTGAATGAGAGAGCCTTGGGAATACTGAGGATGAAAAGCAACCTTTATGTTACGTGTGGATAGACTTGTTTGTTCAACTCTTTTGACTTATGTTACATGTGGATAGACTTGTTTATTCAATTCTTTTGACTAGGGGCACCTTTTATGCAGCTTCAAAGTTTTAGAGTTGGAAAAGAAAGCTAGTTTACATGCATAATTGGATTTGCATTTAATGGTATTTTCTTAAGTTGGAAAGGAAATCTGGGTTGTATTTGCATGGATTATTAGATTTTTCTTTAACAATTCTTCTACACCCCTACATGTGAAGAAGGTGGGAAGGGGCTAATTGAATTCATGGAACTTTCACTATTTGAAATTTCTCTCTTCCTCTGGACTGATATTTGACTTCAAGTAGGAAAGAAGCAGAGATACCGAAGGATGGATTTGTATGATAGCCCTGTATGTCTTATAAATGGTTTTCCCCTGTCCTGTTTTCTCTACGCTCTGCTATAAAAATAAGCAACAAGCTTATTATGATCAAATTTTTGGGATAACTCAACTTTTTGAAAGTCTGGAGCTCAGTCAAGAGTTCATCCCTAGTGAATTCTCTGTTACTGGTTAAGAGCCTTACAGGCATTTGAGCAAATTTATTTGGTGCTGTATTGATGTTGTACCTTATCGTTGCTCTTGAATCTTACTTGTCTTGCAGATGTCTGAGTTACTCAATCAGAAGTACTCAATACAAGGAAAAGTTCCTTCAGGCTATCTTAACACTATTTTTGATTTGAGTGGAGACTGGCTTCATGATGCTGCAGACACAAAAAATCTTGCTTTTGATGGTTACTTTATTTCATTGTATCATTTACACCTTACATCATCTCCACTCGTACTGCATGACAGAGTTAAGAAGTCTGTTCCACCTCACTGGGATCCAGCAGCGTTGTCTAGGTAGCTTTTCAATATATTATTTGTGCAATTTCTTGGCATTAAGAATCATTATATATCAATGAGAGGTCATATGGATTATGTGGAGGCTGTTTCCATGAATGAAAACTATTAAGAAATAATACTGTCAACTGTATGTTATACACACTTGCCTATTAAAGGAAATATATTACTGGTTATGCAGAATTAAACGTGGTTCTCAACTGCTTGGTTGATCATGTGGCTGTATGCTGGAAAAAAATATTGTAAAAACAATTATGTCTGAGATGATGAAGGAGCTGTAGTACTTGTTTTTAACTTTCTTGTGCAATGCATTTTGGTTTTGATAATGTTACTTTCTCACTGTTTTGCTCTCAAAGTAGTAGAATCCTTTTGAATGGATTAGATTGAACATGCTTGCGTTCTATCATCTTTTACATATAACCAATTGTGACATAATTGTGCTTCCATTGCAAATGTCCGATTTACCTAGTTCGAAATTTTCAATTCTGGGGTTGGGGCAATCCTTACACGCACACAAACAAATATGTGTCTATATGTATAGAATTTCCCACTGACTAAGTTTTCTGTCATAGTGTTTTATCTGCGATGTATCTAAATTTGCAAAATTCGGATGGCGGGGAGCACAAGAATCATTTTGGTTACTTGGAATCTATTAATATCATTATTATTGGTTTCATGCAGTACATATCTAATAAATTGTATTAGGCAGGTTCATCCAGACATATGGGACACACATAATAGTTGGCATGGCTATCGGAGGTCAAGATTTAATATGTGTCAGACAGAATTATTCCTCTAGAATTCCTCCTTCTGAGCTCAGAGGGTACTTGGAGGATCTTGGAGATGTTATGTTTTCAGATGGGCAAAGCCCTTCATTACTACAGAGAAAAAAAAGAGATGGCAAACAAAAAGTATTAGCACCTAATTAAAATTTAAGGGATCTTTCTTTTTCTTTTAAACACCAATATTGCTTCTAAATGCCATTTATTTATGTAGGTGCCCGAGGTCTTTAATTGCATTTTGCAATCAAACACCATGCAGTTGGCCAGCATTGCAGAAACATCAAGCAGAGATGTGAGTCTAAAACTTTAGTCTTACTCTATTTTTTTTTCTAAATAATCATTACAGTCCATGAATTATTTCTTTCCCTTTGTTTTCAACTAAATCAGGGACTCACTATCATTTGTTCAAAAAGAGGAGGAAATGTGTTATTGCATAGTCACTCCAACTGGCTCCAGACAGTGCCTGCTAAACCAGAAGGAATTTTGTTCAAGTTTGTACCAATTACTTCTCTTCTGACTGGGATTCCAGGAAGTGGGTATCTCAGTCATGCGATCAACTTGTATCTTCGTTGTAAGTATTGCTGTGCCGAACTTATGGAGAGAACTTTAATTTGGAGATTATGCTTGAAATATGATTTTGAAGATGATTGAAATCCTTCCCTAGTATAAATATAACTTGACTAGGGTAACAGTTTGGTGGCAAAACTGGGATATCTTTATACGTTTTTGGTAGGAAAGAAAAAAAATGAATCTCACAAAAAATTGGATTTATTTAAAATTCCTTATTCTAAATAAATATTCCAAAAGACATAATTATGTGTTCAAAATCAATAGAAACACTTGTTTGACTACCTTCTTTTGCACTCATTTATATTTTGTAATTTTGAAGTTTGAGGTATGTTTGGTTGGTGAAAAAGTGCTTCAAGATCCAATGGAAGCAAATTCTCTTTTCAACTTGATTTTATTCTGTTTGCATTTTTATTTAATTTTACTTTTCAAATCAGTTGGCTATCAAAGGCCACATGAAGATTTGAGGGAGGGATTTACCCTCTGTTATGTCCCCTTTGGAAAAGTATGTGACATATCCCCGTGTCTGAACTGAATCTGACATGTCATTGCCATTTCAAGAAGTTTAGCAGAAAAACATGAATGTGTTAAACATTTACTTGATTGCACAAAAGTTAAAAGTACAGGGAACTTCTTTTAGTTCGAGCTGAGGGAACATGAAATATTTGGCCTGAGTACTGGGCTGTTGGAGGACTTTAGCCTTGTTATTCTTTTTAACAACCATTTTACAAGTAATTTAATCCTATCATACTCTTCTAATTTTCTATTTATGTGATAGTAAAGTTCTTTTTCTCTCTGAATCTGCATGCAGACAAGCCTGCTCCAGAGGATTTACGGTATTTCTTGGAGTTTCAAGTTCCACGACAATGGGCACCTATGTTCTGTGAGCTGCCACTTTGGCATCATAGGAAAAATGCTTCTTGCTCTTCCCTGAAATTTTCTTTCATGGGTCCTAAGATGTACGTTAGCTTTACGCAGGTAGTCAAACAGCATATAAAGCATTATTTTACAGTAGTCAGCTTATCAGCGTTTTGCATCAACACATTGTCTTGTGATCTGTTTCATTATGTTTTTATTTTCATCTAAAACCAAAGACTCATAAGATCCAAAATGAATGATTTCTGAAGTCAAGGGGAAATTGCACTAATGCTTACCTTTTATGTTCTTGTTGTAAGCAATGAACTAGATAATTTAAAATCTTATGACAGTATCTGAACCCAACTCAACTAAAATTCTATGAACAACATGCTAGCGCAGACAATCCTAAAGGTAAGATTAATATCACTGTAAGTTTTGCTTGAAAACTGTACGAGTGTGGCAGGTATGGCTTGTACTTGTATAGTATTAACAACATCGGTCGGGTTGTAGGAGGTTTGATGTAGTCACCTTATTATAATTAACATGCCATTTTTTTTTTTTGTCAAAGTGTGTAGTAGAAAGTGGAGTTGAGTTGCTACTCTTGGAAAGTGGAAATTGTGTTGAATTTTTTATTATTAACAACAGATACAACTTTACTATTTAAAATGTCACTTTTTCCATGGTCAAATTGTAAGGTAGTCTGGTAGAAGATGGAGGTTGAGTTACCACTTCTGGAAGTGGACGTTGACGTTGAATTGAACATGTTTGTTGTTAACAACTAACAACAAACACACTTCACTATTCTTGAGGACAAAAAATATTTTAAATATAAACTTTTGGTGAACTGGCTTTGCTTGCCTAACATGTTTGTCGATAGTTTTACCTTTCTAGTCCATGCATATAGGTACATGTAGGCATGTATGTAGGTTTAAATTGCTTGATCCCTCGGAGTTGTTATCAAATTTCATCCTTTATTTATTTATTTATATATTTTTTGAGATAGATTTTGCAGTCATGTTTCATCCTATTCTGTTGTTACTATAAATATTCTTGACAATTCAGGTTTCAAGTGATCTAAAACCAGTAGTTGGCCTCCGCTTGTACTTGGAAGGAAAGAAATGCAACCGATTGGCGTTACATGTGCAGCATCTCTCAAGTCTTCCAAATATAATGACATTGACATCAGGCAGACCATGCCAATGGCGAGGTTCAGATGACTATAACTCCAGTGATCAATTTTTAGAGCCAGTCAGGTGGAAGAGATACTCGAATGTGTGCACATCTGTTGTTAAGCATGATCCTAACTGGTTGCAAGAAGTTTCAAGTGGTGTTTTTATTGTAACTGGTGCACAGCTCCTTAGCAAAGGGAAGTGGCCAAAGACAGTTTTGCATCTTCGTCTGCTTTTCATCCATATACCCAACTGCACAATCAGGAAGACAGAGTGGGCAGCTGCACCTCAAACTTCTCGTAAGGCCAGTTTTCTTACAAATCTGAGCACAACTTTTTCTTTCACTCAACGGATGGTCACTGGACAACAAAAGCAGGCGTCAACTGCACTTAATTCAGGCATATATCCGGAAGGTCCACCTGCACCAATTCGCTCCAAAAAACTACTAAAATATTTAGATATATCCGAGGTTGTGCGTGGTCCACACGATGCTCCGGGACATTGGTTGGTAACTGCAGCTAAGCTAGTCAATGAGGGTGGTAAGATTAGCTTGCAAGTGAAATTTGCATTGTTGGACTATCCATGAATTTCAGCTTCTGTTTCATATATAGAGTGAGATTGATACATTTTATCATACAAGGTTGAGTTGAATTGGTTTTTCTTTTATTCCTTTGTACAAGTGGAGAATTCCTTTGTACAAGTGGAGAGTGCTATAGCATGAATGTGTTACCCAAATTCTTAACCTTCCAACCACACGAGCTGCACCCGAAATGGCAAATTCGAGTGTTGCCATTGGTTTATTTGTTTTTGTTTTTCTTCTTTCTTCTTTTTGAACAAAAGAAACCATTCAGTTCATTCGGAGAGCTCCGTTTTTGTAGCCCGAGTGTTCAGATTTATAGTAGAAGCATGCCATCATTTTGTACATAGGAAAAATTTTTTGATTACACGTGATTTTGAGCTACACAATAGAAGACCTTTCATCCCATAAACTCGAATCCGAGACGCTCAAGTTGGATTCTCACGTTCCGATTGCTGGGGTGTCTCTTAAAAGAGTACAATTGCTGGGTGTCCTCTAAAAATTGTACAGAGAAAACATGTAAGTTCATAAATAAGTATAAACCTACCCATCTTTTAGGAATTTTTTTTTTTTAGTAAATGATGACGTAATTTAGAGATAGGGAAAGAAATTAAAATGTTGATATTTGAATCTCATACTTGAGGTTGTAATTAATCGAATTAAATCGATATATTATTAGGTTCAAACTCAATTTAACTTGAAATTTTGAGATTTAAAATTTAATTCTAATTTGTTCGAGCTTTATATTTTGTGCTTCATCTCGACTCATAATTTAATTCAATTGCTCAAATTTGAATTAGTAGACTACATCAATTAGGTTGGGTAAAATTGTAAATATTGATATTAAACACTATATTTTTCTTATTTACTTACAAATATATTAAAAATAAAAATTCGATTAAATTTATAAGCCTCTCAAGTCGGTTATCAAACTATTTGAACTTGACTCCACTCGTTACTCGAGTATCTCAAGCTCACTTTGACAATAAACAAATTGAGTTCAAATTTTTTTTACGTTAAGTTCGAATATCTCATGTATAATTTGATTTTTTTATATTTATACCTAAATCTAGTGGAGGTCATCCACATCTTAAAATGATTATATAAACTAATGAAATCAAGTTTTGGATTTCTTTTAGGATTCTCTTTGATAAATAATCTAGCCCTATACCTAATCATGTAATCCCGATCATTGCAAAAAAGAAAAAAAAAATGATCACAAAATGAAAAGTTCCTTTATAGTTGATTCCTACTCCTCGTTCTTTTTCTTTCTTCCTTGCTTAAATTAAGCAGCAATTAAGGTGAAGGCAAACAAAAAGTGTAATTATATTGGGCATGGGTGTAATGATCAGAAGAGGTGGGGATGTGGAAATTAAAGCTCAGTTTCAAACAGCGTTGATTCAGCTGAGATTGATAATATTGCAGGGAAAAGAAACAACATTTGGAGAGCATGGGAGCCAAGCGACATCATAAAGATAGAGAGGAAAGTAGGGACTCTGAGAAATTATCATGGAATCTGATAATGTGAGGAATCAACAGCATAGTGAAAAAGAGTACTAAGAAACTCAAAGCTTAGTTGAATTAATTTATACAGATTGAGAGCTTGAGTAAAGGTGAAAAGGTTAGTAACTCCTCTCACTTTTGTTAGTAGCTGCTCTCATAGCAAGAAAATCCGTTATTTGATTAATTTTGCTGTACAAAACTCCTTATTGAATAGATTTAAAGATTTATATATTTGTATTATATAAAATATTAAAATTCGTATATTTATATAATATTTTATACGACAATTATATATCATAATTTGTGTTAATATGAAAATATAAAATTTTTTTTTTGTTTTGCTAAATTTATATAAGATTATTGTTAAAATTTTAAATTATATCTTATTTTTATATCATATTTATTTCATATCATTATATTATGTTTTAAATTATTAAATTTAATATTAATCTTATAAAATTCTATCACTAGCTTCTCACAGTCATGTAAAAATATATAAATTTTACTCATATCTTTTCGTAAATTTTTAACATGTAAGAATATAAAAGATAAGGTGATCTCTTTTTCAACCTTTCTCCATATGTTTTATTCCATGTCCAAGATGATTGAAGACAATTTGTGAAACTTCGCTTTATTATTTCACCATAGTAAGTCTACTAGCCATGAAATTGCATGTGACAACCACTTTAGTACAAAGGCTTTTGGACCACTAAATAAATTATCGTTTACTTTGCAACAGAAGGCATACCCAAAAAAAGAAAAAAAGGTTAAAGGCAGATCCACGTTTCTGTTAAATCATGGCACATGGTGTCCGTTTCCACGTCATTTTCATTCCCACAAAGTTAATAATTTCACCTATTGTTAGGGGCAAGTTGCTCTGGAGGGACTTTTTACGTAGGGTTAATATAATATATAATTCTTAAATTATAATGATATATTTAATATAATATTTAAATTTAAAATTTTTTAATATAATATTTAAATTATAAATTTATTATTTAATATAATATTTAAAGAATTATTGTATAATTAATTAATAAATTTATAATTTAAATATTATGTTAAAAATTTTTAAAATTTATAATTTTATTAAATCTTTTTATATAATTTAAGAGTTATTTATAATATTATTCTTTTTACGTAAAAGTTGCAACCTTAATTGAAGGGAATAAGGGGGCATGATATGTAGATTGACAGAAATAAAAGCAAGGCAAAAGTAACACGAAATTGAAAGTACAAGGAAATTGGTAAGAAAAAAAAAATGAAGCACAAACACTTTGATGGAATAAAAAAAAAAAAAAAGTTGTAGATAAGGCGTTTCAAGGACGAGATGGCCAGTTCTTCTGTATTTCGAAGTGGTAACTCACATCCAAATAGGCTTTGCCATCATCATCTACAAACTGCATAAACAAATTAAAAAACGCCATCAAAAGAAAATTTCAACAATTATTTAGATTTTATTTTACTATTTGTTGTCGTATTTAAATGCCAAAGTAAAAGAGTATGTCAAAAAGTTAATGACCAAATAGAGCTCAAATTTGTAGTTAACATTATTAGTTAAAATTTACCTTGGTTCTTGCCGAGTATGTGCCTCTAGCTAGCAAGCCTGAAGGGGTAGTTTCTTCTTCCAATTCATATGTGTAAGGTTCTTTCTGAGGGCTAAATGTTCCCAACATCAGTTTTGTGTTGTCCACTGCCCAATTGTTTCATTAATATATCAGGATTACAATGAGAAATGAAACTCAATCATGTCTTTTAATTTCGGATGAAGTGAGATTTGAATCCGACTCTATGAGTATGAGTAGATGATACGTGCACTTATTATTGAATCAAACGTATGCATTTACTCGATCATGTATTTTAAGTAGTTAATGAGTCCATAAAAAAATTAATCACATTTAGGTTAATTTTAATCTTTCTGTACCTCTAACACCAGTTTTCCAGACAGTGTTTGTGTACTTTAGTCCGGAGACAATGTTGTTGGAGACACTGAAGGAGAATTTAAGGCGATACTGGCTTCCTTCCCTTAGTATAAACAGACAGCTCTTAGGCTTGGAAGCAAATGGAATTGGCAAGATAATGTCTGGTCGGCCCGGACATAGGATTGAAAGGCTTAGTATCTTAACTTCTGGTTCCTTGCTCTCTGTGTTCAAGAGACAAGTTTAGTTTCCATGTTCTAAAATTCAAATTCATATAAACTAGTATGTTTTATCCAATTAAGTAAATTTGGTAATTCTAAATATAATATGATGACATGAAAAAAATAATAATAATAAAATCTAAAATTTTAGTAAAAAATTGTATATAGTTTGATAAAAACAAATGAATATTAATATAAATTGTGATATAATAATTTTTATATTTTACATTTGCACGAAATAAACAGGGATATACGAATTGTATATATAAATTTAAGGTAAGTTTTTCTCCAATTCCTAGAAAAAAATACCAAAACTATGCAATGGAAATGTGTAGTAGAACTCGTGTAAGAAAAGAAAACTACCTCCAACTGCAGACATATCAACACTCCCAAGAAGCTGTTCTTTCCATCTCCTTAAACTTTCATCATCCTTGAAAAACAAAAAGGTAATAATAAAAAAAATCAAACAAGAAATACCCAGAGCCAGTTTTTGGGTACAAAATCAAAGAAATGATAGTTTCATGCAAATGTACCTTGTCCTTTTCAAGCTGCTCTTTGAGTGAAAACTGAGGACCAAGGTCCAACTCCTTCTCAGAATTCAGCTTGGCATCATCTTCTTCATCATGCTTACTCTCATTGTGATCATCATCATCATCACCATGATCTTCATGGTGACCTTTGTTCTCAGCTTCGTCAACAAACTTCTTGTTCTTGTTATTGTTTTCTCTCAACTCTTCATTTTTTGTTTCATTTTTGTTGAAACCAATTTCTTTGGATGCTGAGAAAGTTCCTACTGCAGCTGACATCTTTTTTCCCCTATGAACCTACCTCTAAGGGAAGCAGTTATGAATTGTAGGAGTTAAAAGGGAAGCTTCACATTTAAAGTTGGTTTGTGGGCTTGAAACTGTACAAAATTTAGATGATTTTAACAAAAAACTTTTGGATGCAAGCTAATATTTTCTTTTATCCATTTTAACGGGAAACGTGGCTTGGATAAATGACATGAAACCAGACAGGAAAGACAGTTGGAACTAAAAGGATGGTTATTAAAAGTATGCAGTAGAAATTTCTATAGTTGGGGCAGTTGAGATAAAAGTTTGCCGTAAGGTCTTTCTTGACAATTCTGGTATTTATATATGTCTATTTTATGTTAAACAAGTATAAAATTTAAAAATTATTATCACAGTTTATATAAATACATAAAACAAAAAATATATTTTTTTTAATTTTTATCATACTTATATATAATTTTTGTTAAAAATTTAAATTATATTATTTTCATATCTGATCGTGTTATTATTTAAAATTATCACATGTAAATCTTAGCTTCTTCAAATTTTGCTCTTTAGCCCTTTCAACTTAGCAGCATCAATGGTACTTGAGAGTTCCGATATAATAATTGTGGGCTTGACCAGTGGTTAGGCTTTTGGGTTCGAGCCATTCCCTTGAGGTGAGGTGGGCTTTAGCACAATGGTTAGGTTGGCTTGAACAAACATATTTGAGCCTGGCCCGAGTTCGGAAACATTCATAAATGCTTGCTTGGAAACTTCCCTCCTACCAAACATAAGAAATCATCTAATCAAGAAATGGATCCATTAGTACATCCCATCAACATTTAATTCATCCTAGAGTTTTCAAGTTTTTATCTTTGATTTCATTTCTTGGGTTCATAGAGCATAGCCACGAAGGAATCAACATGAAAATTTTAAAGTACAAGAGTTTACAAATTTATCGGACTTGGATTAAGTGCTTATGTCACACCAAAGGCTTCAAAATTTGCAGCGACGTCTTCAAATAATAGAACATGAATTACCTAACATATTTGCAGTACCACAAGATCTATCCTTTGTCTTTTGGCCTCCATCTACAATTATTGTAGTCTATTACATGTAGTATGCGAACATAGGTAGCTCAAAACCGCATCTATACAGGTTACGTATAGCATGGAATGCTTTAAACTGCAAATCCATGCTTACATTGCCAAAGATCAAAGCTTTTCAGTTTCCATGTCGATGACAAACTTACAAGGTTGCGCACCTGATAGGTGAAACCATGGAAGCCATTACTGGGCATGTCTGAACCACATGGATATCTTTTCCTAGAACACACCTTCAACATCCTGTGGGCAGCCAGATTTCCACTCCAGGAAAAATGCAACAGCGAATCGACGCTGACCTGACTAAGCTGGTGATGGAATATCGGCTCAACTCAATGTTCTTTCTTTTTTTTTTTTTTTTTGCGGTAGTCTACCGTCAAATGGATTACTTCCCCATCAGCAGGATCTGCACCTGATGCTACCATCTCCTCACTGAGCTACTGTTCGCACAAGCCCATTGAACTTCCCAGAACGTACACGCGAGGGTGTGCCCCTGTTTCCTGATGCCAGGTTTTCACCATGCCCTGCTGCAATCTCAGCGTCAACATGGTTATGGTCATGACCTGTTGGGCTGAGTGTGTGGAGTACAAATGAAAGATTAGCTGGCAACCCTTGGTCACTGTAAACTGACATGCAGAAACAAAAAGAAAAAAAACTGAAGAAATTAGACAAAATGACAATATATGAATGTACAATTTATAAGATAGAAGATTAATCAAAGTCCATACAACCGATAAAAAATGAATTTGTTAAACGATTAGAAGGGAAACTATTAAACAAATATAGTATCTTTGTATTATACACTACAGCCTTTATCATTCACAATAAGAAAAAAGATCTTGTTGAACATTATTCACATACAATACTTCTTATGACTGAAGACTCGTTTTGGTGTCGGGGGACAGAGTGGACATGGTGAAGGAGCTGTTAGAAAAAATAAATAAGAGAAGATAAATAATAAAAAAGAATTTTAGCTATAAGGTGTGAAAAACGCTTTTTTAAAAGTAATTATGCCTTTAAGATATAACAAAGTTTCAAACTCTTTAATCAAAAGCAATGAAAATAGTTATACTGAAAGATTTATTTATAATGAATGAGCATATATAAACTTTTATTCAGATGATTATGACTTTCTATATAATCATGACCTTTACGAATAATAATTTATTTATATTCAAATAATTATGACAGTTTGTCATATGAATATTATTTATGTTTAAATATAATTATTTAAAATATAAATAAAATTATTACAAAAATTAATTTTATTCATCAATAACTAAATCTTTCTATCCAATGTGGGATGCACCACTTTCTAAACTACAACAATTTTTCACTTGTTTGGAATGTTGGTGCTTAAATTTTACTTTTCACAAAATAAATATTATGAATACAAGAAGGTTTCTCTTGATTTAAACCTTTAATTAGCATATATATATCATAGAATTCTAACAAAGTTGATAGTGTCTGTAAATTAAACCTCAACTTCTAGTGTTAGAATTTAAGATATAACATACATAATACTTACTTATTCTTCTATCAGAAGTTTATAACCATTTTTAGCACTATTATGGCCATGTACTTATCCTATTCATAAACATTTATAAGAGATATCACAATTTTTCTTATTAAAATGGCACCACTTCTATGTTTATATAGGTAGAGTTTTCATTATGTCTCTATTGTTTTAGACATTTAAAACTCCATTAAAAGTATAAAAACTTATTTTCCTTTCGTAATGGATCATACTAGTTTCTAAAATTTAAATGAATTTTACTAGTGTTTTATAGACACATAACAATAACTTGTTTTTACCTATCAAACTTTGTAATTAGAGGTTTCTAATTCAAAGTTGGGTTCCCATTATCAATGTCTAATAGTAAGGGTTTAAATCCATTCTACTTGTAGTACTACTAATCAAATATTTTGAAATTTAATTTTTTTTATGGTAATTACCCTCACTTGAGATTGAATCTCTAACATAATCATTTCAAGCTAATATGTCCAAACTTTTCATTTTGCATATCATTTATATGCTCCAGACATTGTTGCCTCATTCTTATCATTTTAAGAAATAATTGATTTTAGTTGTGGCCATAACTCTATATTTATTAATTTCAACCATTCTATTTCCACACTTTTTACATTTTTAATACAATTATAGTACAATTGGATAAACTCAATGAATAAACCAAATGATTTTAGTCCCTTTTAAAATTTTTAAGGACCTTTTTATGACTTTAATAAGTGTTTAAACTTATTAGCTTGTATAATTTGCTTATAAAATTATACTAAAATCTTATTACACTATGGTGGCATTTTTTATTTCTTTTGATTCTTATCACCGCCACTATATGCAAGTATGCATTCTTTTATTAAGGAATATCTCATTCAATTATCAAGATATCATATATATTTAATCAAGTTGTCATTTCATTTATTTTTTCACTATTTGATTTTTTTTTTTAAGTAAGAGGCCTCCAAATTCACCCTTAGTGAAAGATAATTAGCTGATATCTTAATATTTCAATAGAAGTTTCAAAACTTTTATATTTTAACTCAATATAAGAATTTACATCAATAAATAGATTTCAAATATAATAATGCTTCTATAGTCTCTTTTTTTTTTTTAAGAATGAGGCCTCCAAATTCACCCTTAGTAAAAGATAATTAGCTGATATTTTAATATTTCAATAAAAGTTTCAAAACTTTTATATTTTAACTCAATATAAGAGTTTAAATCAATAAATAGATTTCAAATATAGTCATACTTTTATAGTCTCCTTTTAAGACTTCTATGTCAATTTATAAATATTTATATGAATTTATTTTATCATGGACATTATTAATAATTTTTTATTACTATGAACAAAACCATTTTCATCACCCAAATGGATCAAATAACATTCTTTTTGCTATTATAAAAGTTTTCAAATTCACAAGATCTTTGAATCACTCATGGCTTCCAAAGTAAATATACTTTGAAATTTTTACTATATAAAACCATAAATGATAAATCATTTGTATAATCTATGACATATACATAACAAAAAAAAGATTACCACAATGTGATCAAGATTGTGGCATCAATTTTGGCTTATGGCTATTCTAAGCTAATCATAATAATCAACATCATACCTACAAATGATGTAGATTTGATTATTTAAGTTATCTCATTTATAGTGATGGCTTTTATGAAAACCAACTATCTCAAATGTTATCATGAGTTTTCAATGCATACAGTAATTGCCCAATGGCTAATTTTAAGTTCATGATTATTGAAACCTCTAAACTTGATTTCTAAATTTTATGAGAATTTTATTTCTCCACCATTTTTTAACCTATATATTTCTATTATTTACCACTTTTAATTGGTCATAACATTTTTGATATATAATAAATTCAAACTCTACTCATAGAACTAATCTGCCTATATACAATAAGAGTCCATAGTATATTTAACTTTAATTTCAAATACTTTCAGAATCATTTTATGATCAATATGTTCATATCTAGATCACCATATCAATGCAAGACATGAAAAGTGAATCCAAAAAATCATTTTCATAAAATAGTATAAAAAATAATTATAATATGAGTTCTACTCATATTTCATGCAAAAACTCATGATGAATTTACATTGGTTAAATCATTGATTGGCCAACTCCAAGGTTTAAGGCTTTTACAAACTGATATTATTATCTAAGCCCATATGTTAATTTGGTGTATAACCAGCCACATCTTTGCTATTGTTATGAAACTATTGAAAACCTCGATAACAACTTACAAAATGTCATTTTTTGGGTACAAAAAGCAAAAGTGTCTTCATTATCTTTAACCAATAATGTATTAATTGGATGATGGCATTCTATCTCTATTGTCCATATCTTTCTTATATATATAAAAAAGAAATTTCATCACTTTCAGTTCATTTTCGTAATATATGACAAACTGTACCAATGTTTTTCATGCCATCAAAAAATGGAATTA